GTTCAGATTCTAGATCACCAAGTTCGCAAGTTGATGACTAAGGAAGTATCATCAGTCAAAGTTCTTTAGAGGAACCAATTTGTTGAGGAAGCTACTTGGGAAGATAAGGAGGATATGAAGAAGATATATCCATATCTCTTCGAATTCGGAGAAATTCCAGATCAAGGTATTAATTCTCTTCTTAATACTCTTTAACTTATGAGATTGCATGTTGTATTTGCATTCCTTGTTGGGTGTTTGAGCTGAATGTTAGATGTTACACCCTTAGCCTACTAAGAGTAAGCTCATTCGAGGATGAATGTTCCCAAGGGGGCGATATTGTAACATCCCGTAACTAGAAAGAACTAGAAAGAAATTAAAAAGTGGAAATAGTCATTTTTGGAAAGAATATAAAATCTGGAAAATTTGTTAAGTTTGTTAAGTTGGATTTTTGGTCAATTCAAATAACCATAACTTCTAGCTCAGGATGATTTAGGTGTGTTTCCAAATATCATAGGAAATATCTTGGAATAATCTTTCCAACGCCATCAAGTTTGCACGATTCTAAGTTAGTATGAGTAAGTTATGCCCATTGGAAGTTGGGCTGTTCAAATAAGGAAATGTCCAATCCGGATTTTTAAAGGGTAGTTTGGTCTTTTCCTTACACAATTTATTTAATTCGTTTTAGTGAATTAATTAAGGGTCAAAACTGAATTTGGTCAGTTTAGACAAATTTGAAAAACGCTAGGGCTTGGAAAAAAGATAAAAGAGGAGAAAGGAGAAGAAAGTTCAAGTTTCGTCGTCTTCGTAAGAAATCGCTTGTGGATTTAGTCAAGGGGTGATCCCTACGAGGTATGTTAGATCACATAGCATTGGGTCTATTCACCCATGCGCCAAACATGTTTAATTCAGGGATTTTCGTCCTAAAAGAGTTAGAATTTGATATTCTTGAGTTGTGTCCTTGAATTGTTTCCATTCTTGAAGTTACATGTGATTGATGGGTTTTCTTGAGACGTTTTACCGATGTTAAGAGTTGTTTCGAGTTAGATTCTAGTGTACATGCTTTGGGTATCTGAATCTAAGAAAATATTGAGAAAAGGAATCGATTTAAAACAATTTAGGATCAGAAAATGAGTTGAAAAGTTCGTCAGACGCACCTGGGGAGGGCCAAGCACGTCGCGCCCCCATAACGCCAAAGAGGCTGGGGAGGTGCACTCCAAAAGGAGCCCCAGGAACTGGGGGCTGGCGCAGCGCGCTAGGGACGTGCCCAGATCATCGTGTTTCATCGTTTAGCCTATTTAAGTCCTTCTAAAGTGTACTAACACTTTCCATTGATTCTAACTACTCTAAATGACTTCTAAACATCTAGAAATCATCCATAAACATGAATCATAACCTTGAATCCATAAATTCAAATTCAAGGAAAGTCAAGAGCCAAGTCTAGGAAGTTCTTAGAGTCTTTTCAAGAAGTCTTTTGCAAATGCTTTTAACTTTGTTTTAAGTCTTAAAGTTCAAGTCAAGTAAAAAGTAAAGAGTAAAGTTTGAAGTTCATTTATTCAAAGAAGTATATGGGGACTACCGACTATGTATTCCCAAAGAGTTTAAAATGTTTTCACATTTAAATAAGAACGGAAAGTGAGATTTCCAAAGAGCCTTTGAGCTAGTTTTCAGAAAAGAGTAAATGCTTTCACAATTAAGCAAGAAGGGAAACTTTGATTTCCAAGATAGCCTTTGAGCTAAGTTTTGAGCAATTATCTCAAATCACAGAAAGAAGTATGTTTTTAAAACATAAGAGCTAGTATCATATTTTGGGAGTAGTATTATGCATCGATATGGGGGAGAGTTCAGACAACTCACAGCCCCCATAAACCATGTAGCCATTATGGGTTGAAAAGGGTCATACCTTTTAGATGATTCCTTTAGTGCTTTTTAGCATAGACTAGTGGATCCACTTATTAGTTCAGGTTCTATACCCTCGGCAAGGTATAGGACGGCCCTGGCAGTGTGAGGCAAAACGTTGTATTATCACAATATCTCTTACGTGATGGTTGTCGGTTAGAGAAACTCCCATAGGAGTAAATGTATTCTTATATACACAGTTTATTGTAATTTTTACATACATTTCAGAGTTATATGTATCTTTGCATACACACAGAGTTGACATCATGTTTTAAACAACTTTTCTTTATATTGCACTTGTGTTAAACTGCTTTATATTGAATTGAGTTCAGTTATATTGAGTTGAGTTAAGCCAGGTAAGTTCTTCAGATTTCTTTCATGCTTATGTCTTGTTTTAGAATTCCCCTCGCATACTCGTACATTCAATGTATTGATGCCATTTGGCCTGCATCTTATTATGATGCAGACACAGGTAACCATGATCAACATCCAGCGCATCGTTGATCCAGTTGAGCACTCAGGGTCTTGTGGTGAGCCTCCTTGCTTCCGGAGGACCCCTTTTATTGCTTTCAGTTTTATTATTAGTTCATTAGGATGTCGCGGGTCTTGTCCCGACATCCATCTCAGTTGCTTAGAGGCTTCATAGACAATCAGATGTTAGTTCCTTAGTCTTTTCATTTCATTATCTTATGTTGAGACTTGAGTTTGC